ACTATTTATCTTTAAATACAAATTTATACTATGGCATTGGTTAAACCTTGTTTGACTTTTTTTTTACAAAATTGAATTTGCACATCTGTAACTGTCATCATTAAACAGTCAACTATAGTAAAATATAATAGACTCATATAAATAAATAACACTACATTAATAATATGTAAATACGTGTATATTTTATAAATTTATATTATGAATATTGACTGTCGTTATTTTTAAACGTGCGACATAGGTTTGAATATATTATGATAGACACATCTTAAAATTGTAAATATTAGTCGGCCTGCAACTAGAGGATATAATGAAAAAAAAATCTGTATATAAACTCGGACTTAGAATACAACTCGTATTATACAACTTCGGATTAGACCTTTTTTCGCAGTTATCTTTGGGATGAAACTAGAATGCAGCCAATATTATATAGGTCGGATCGGTTCAAATACCTTAAATTATAAGTCCTTTTAAAATAAATGAGCCGACGTCTACATTATATTGTATTTTAAGTCGGAAACGGATGTGTTGGACCGGAACGTACCGGAAAAAATATCTCTTCGAGAATAATTTCCACGGATTCTAAAACGCGTTCTGATCCATATCGCAATCGTCATAAAACGATAGTACCTATATACGATTCTGGGGATAATGATTTCTGATTTCGATATGAAACTCCAGGTATAAGAAGTACATAATTTGACGTTTGTTAGTATACTTAAGTCGAAGTACCTACTAAACATTGCACATTGAGTGTGTAAAATATGTTATATTTAAACATATAAGCGTGTTGTTTAAATATTTTATACAAGTTTAAGATGTTCATAATATACACTAAAAAATAATGATCTTAAATATTTTAAATTAATACAAAATAGGAACATTAATAGAAAAAAAGCCGGAGACACTTCTGCTGTATATTAGGTGCCTAGAGAGTCACTATAGATAATGGATGTGTTAAATACTTAAATTTGAACTCAATGATATAAAAACATTGTATACAAAAACGATTTTGATCGAAGACGGTCTTTCAGGCTCAGTTCATAATATTACAATTTACAAAGTATATTGGATGATATTATTGGGAATTAAAATTAAAGTGATTTATTTTACTATTAAGCATTAGTACTACAGTAATTTTAATTCATTTTTGCCCAAAAAATTTGCATTTGAAAATGTCATTGTGTGTATATAATAGCATAATAATATTATACTCTTAAAGTTTCAAGTGTCCTCTACTAATATTTTTAAATTACAACAAAATAACTATTTTAGTATATTATTCTTGGTTTGAATATGTAATTGCGTCCAAATTTTAACTCAACGAAAACATTTTTATTGAAATTTATAAAAAATTGAAATTTTCAAATGTCCTATAAACAACTCCAAATTTTTTAAAAATGTATCATGTATAGAAAACGATAAAGTAAACATTTGATGCAAATATCAAGTAACTACGGTTAATAGTTATTGAATTACAACAAAATAAGGAAATTGTCCCAAAATATTTGGTTATTTACTAGAGAATATTCAATGTCTAACTTAACACTTATACAATTTTTTTTTTTACTTTTTAGTCAACTTATTTTTTAATGTAGGAAAAAAATTTAAATTTCTCTTATGGAGAATCTATAGTATTACATTTTCAAATCTTGGATATACATTTAACATTTTTATGTATTTTTAACTAAAAATAATTGAAAATTTTCGTGATTTTGATGAATTTTGTCAAAATTATAACTTTAAACTCTCATAAAAACTATTGTGAAATTAAGATCAATTTTTTTAATTTAATTTCCACTAAAATGCTTGTACGGAACCTTGCATTGACTTTTTAAGTTTTTGACCAAGCTAATTTATCGACGATAAAAAATTGTTTTATGCTTATAAACATGTTTAAAAACAGTCAAAATATTTTGTAAATGTGTTGTTTTCCTAAAGCAAATAACAATATATAAACATTTTCTGAAAATTGTACGTATCTACAGTTTTTCTTTAATTTGTTATTTTTCCTGAAGCTTTTGATGACTACTAGAATTTTTTTAGTTTTGACTCCCTAATGTAAGTACTAGCTAGATTAAATTTTATTTTAGAAAACATGTTGAAGTAGAAAATTAAAGCATCTTAAGGCTCTAAAAATTGAAAACAGATACAAATACAAATAAAAATCACATAATTGTAAAACCAATACATTCATCGCTTCGCACAGGATCTAATAAATCCAACGAATATATTTACTGTTTTATGTGTAATGAATTGCGATGAGTTAGTTAAACATTTCGGTTCGCATGGAAAATTTTGTTTTATATTCTGTTGAAAACGTCAGAAATATTATTTCTCTAATTTTTGTATTCACCTATCCACCCTGTTAATATCGAAATAATGTTATGTAAACAATTAATGCACCATTTTACTACGAATTAGTTACGTCGTAAAACTTTAAAACGTATAAATTTCAATCTCGCAGCCTATCTTTTTTAATTTAGCCCGAAAAAATATGCACCAATGCACTTAAATTATGCAATAACCTTAATGTGAAAATACAACTCATAGAGTACCTCAGATCAGTCAGATCTCTAATTACGAGCACAATTTAACAGTGTCGATGCGAGACACACGCGTGCAATCGTTTCGGAAGTGTTTATGAAAGTTTTGACGTGTAGTTTGCGGAAGGGTGGCTGGCGTGTGAGTGTGTGTACGTGCGCTGTGAACGAGTACAACGAGGGAATTGTTGGGGTAAAATAACGGTCGGGATAACGTGTGTGTTCATGTTTGTGTATGTGTACGTATATTGTGAGTGTAAGGAACGCGCGGGAAAACGCGTGGAAAGCCTGCACCGCCGCCGTATCGCGTATGCACCGCAGTATATATAGGTAAAACGTATATATGACGGCGTCGGTGGTGAAAGCGACACACACTCGTGTGGCGGGAAACTCCCGTTTTCCTCTATACCCCGTGCAGGCTCACCCGTCATCCCGTCCTACCCTCAAACCGCCTCTCCTATATGGGGTTCCACACACAAAACACACCGCCACGCCGTCTAGTACTCAATATTATGTCTGCGAGGTATTTCCTTTTTGTGTCTGCCGACGTACGCACACACACACACACACACACACACACACATACATGAGATTCCGTAATTTGTTCCGCTCGCTATATACATCGTATACACACGCGCACACATAACGTCCTCTACCCCCCTCAGACTCTTCTTCACCGACGCCTTCACATATATATGTGACTGTGTGTGTGTGCACTCTCTTTCACACCTGTTTGTATGAATGAACGCCGTCGCAGACTACGACGATACATATAATATTATACATAATATTATTTTGTGAATGAAACTCACGATCATCGTCGTGTTTTCCGAGTGTACACGTAAAACATTATTATGTTACGTTCCTCTAGCTACATGTATAATATTATATAAAATGTGTATGTATGTATGTATGTATGTATGTATGTATGTATGTATGTATGTATGTATGTATGTATGTATGCGCGTGTATATGTGTGTGTGTGTGTTTTTTTTAATATCACGTTAAAAATATTTTTCTGATGATAAAATAAAATATAAAAAACGTCCGTGACGGACGCGAGGTTTCCCTCCCACCCCCTATCTACTGACCATTTCATCGAGATTATCGAGATTTCCGAGCGGAAACCTTGAACCGAATGTTCACACGAGTCCGCTCCGTAGAGACGGACAACGCACACTCGTTTTTATCGATGGAATACATAATTTTTTTGACTTTTTTATCGTATATTTTCTTCATATTATTATTATATATACTCTCGTCTTATCATTCTCTCTCTCTCTCCTTATATCTAGCTCTTTTCTCTGTCCATCTTGTAAGTTTTTCTTTCCGTCAGCAGAATCACGATAACGGATTCGTGTTGTTACATACAAATATATACACAATTTGTGCCCCGGTTCGTACGCGATTATTGTTTTTTTTTTTAACTCCTCCGCACTACAAATATTTCACAGTTTATACAACAAATTTCCATCCAACGAATTTCGTTTGGTTCAACAGTAGTTCAATCCTAACATGTCATTCATTGTCTTCAAAAATAATAATTATCATAATATCTTTTTAATTATAATATAAACACTTGGTTAGCTGAATTATGAGTGTAGTAGTGTATGCAATACGCGTGTAGGTTATATTTACATTATATTGCTATATTATAGGTTATGATTTTATGAAATTACAATTTATAACTTTAAGTTTATAGTTTATAAAAAGTATACTGAGTAAAAGGCATTGAAAAAATACATTTCATCATTTTATATCACAATTGTTTATTATTTGTATTTTATAAAGTTAGAATTTTCTTCGGCGATGTCGCATGATTTTTTACGGTTCATACAGTTGAACATAGAATGAATATAAAGAAATCAAGAATTATAACAGTAGGCATATACTGTATACATGTTTATTAAATGTATTTGAGATACTTTGTTACTTGCGATAATTTTTTAACACGTTGAGCTCCGCGGCTATTATCTGCGCGGAGCACGTGTCGCCGCGCCGAATATACGGCCGGTCGACTAAGCGTCCTGCGCTCTGGAAAAAAGTTTATCCTGTGTATATAATTAATAATAAGTAAAGAGTTGAAGTAAATAAAATATTAATACTGATGGTACTGCTCGTAATATTTTTTGTTTTTTTTCAACAATCGTTTTGAATGAAATATTAATATAAATAATGTGACAAAAATAATTTAATATTTTTCAATCACTCTGTATATTGAAGGAACACACTGTATACTTGTTATGCTATAATTCCAAGTTAATAATGTTATTAAATTAAAAACGTCCAGACATAACAAAAATAATATACATATAGCATATTATATGATACGTTAATGTTATCGACGTTCGACGACGGCGTCATTTCAGGGAAAATATTAATATCAAAACTAAAAATAAACCAAAAAAAAAACCAATTATATCCTTAGATTCTTGAGACATTACCTGGGGGGCTATTCAGAAACTCATACGAAAAAGATCCGTATACGAACGATTCACACGATTCGTTTCCGTATACGAACGAAAAATACTATTCACAAAATATTTATATTCGTATACGAATCCGCGATCCGTATGGGAATGATTTTCACACGATGAACAGCGGCAACATCGCAAATTGTTGTTTTTATCATGGAAGAGAAAACTATTTGCGTTGTTTTATTACATATTTTCCGCGTTTTAATAAAACTGTTTTACCGTTTTCTTTTTTTCGTCATCGATTCGAAATAACTTTTTTTAAATGTCGGTCGAAAAAAGAAATAAATCAAAATCTGTCACTAATGACCAAAAATCGGCTATGGTTGATTTTTTGAAAAGCCACGAGGAGTTGGCTAAAGGCAAACATTCCTCGACTTTCACTCAAGCCATAGCCAAGCAACAGTGGGAAGAACTAACGGGGATATTAAATTCAATTCCGGGCCCTATTAAGGATTGGAAGTCCTGGCGCCGGGTAAATTAAGAATTTAATTTAAATTTAAAATGTTAGAGTAACTTCCAAGTATTATTTTTTCATATTTGCACGCTTATTGAATACTCCATGCATATATTATAATTATATGTATTTAATAAATATACATATTGTTTTAATTGTTTACAATAGATAAATTACACCTAGATATCGGTTTTGTTCATATTATATGTACCTAGTTAATTTTGTTGCATAATTTACCTAAAATGATGTTAAATTAAACTTAAAACTAAATTTATTAAAAAATATTAGTACTAATAGTACAGTACACAATATAATGCAATAATATAAGATACATTATATATTACTAATATTCTATGATTAAAGAAAGTAGCACAAGGAATATATTTAACAGTAAAAACTTACCTATGTTTAATTTAGTAAATAAAAAATATTTAATTTAATTTATAAAGCCATTTTTATATTTATAAATTATTTATTTTATTAAAACCATAAAAATATTAATTATAAAACACACTGGACATTTCAGAATACATATTTATTATTTTCTTAAATTATCACAGGGACGTGTAAGACAAAATATAGGAGTTATTTGTAGGGTCAGTAAGAATTAGCTATAACATTACTGTTTACTTATAAAACTTACATAAATACTTACTTACTAATTGTATTTTTCAAAACAAAAAAATAAAAATATAATTTTAAAAAAAAGTACAATAATATAATACACAAATACACAATTACATGTTATAAACAATTATACAATTATAGACATGGCAAGATCTAAAAGCTGATGCTAAAAAAAAACAGGCATTATTAAATAAAAATATGAAAGGTACCGGAGGTGGACCATCGACATCAGGGTCACTTGACAGTGTAAGTCTAACAGTGGTGGGCATGATAGGTGTGGTGCCTATTTCTGGTGACCCTTCTATCATGGATTATCCAGTTTGTTTTGATTTTGACACCCCAAACAAGTAATTAAATTTAATAGTATTAGTATAAAAAAAGTAACTTCAATTAATTTACTGTTAACTAATTAGATACTATGTTATAGACAACAAAATCAATCACTGGTCATCGAAGTACCAAATTTAGAAAATGTCAATCAAAGTGAATCCTATGATGAATCGGATTCAACAAACATGTAACATAACAATGTTTTAACTTAATAATAATAGTGATATGTACTGTCCCTGAATTTTTTCATTACATTGGTTTTAA